CTGGATGCCTACTCCCCACCCGCCCACCTCCTTGGTTACTTCAATTTCCCTTCAAGGGCAAACCCAGCAACCACGGGTCACAAGCACGCTGCTGTGGAACATATAAGAAGAATGCACTTTAGTGACTGCGGGGGGTGCGGTGGGTCCCTCTCAAACCCAGAAGTTTATTAGCATTCAGCAAAAGAAATATGTTACAAATAGGCAGTGCATCAAGATATCCAGATGTAGTGAGAGCTAGGAGTGGAGAGGTCACAAACCAGGAGATTCTATGTTGCCTCAGGGATGGGGAAAGGGAAACTCAGATACAGCCAGGGGCCATGCTCCCCTTTCTGCACTGGGAGAAAAAAACTCTTACTTGGGATGGGGATGTACTGCAGTTCCTAATTTCTTCCCTCCTCCCCCCAGCCATTTGATTTAACATGACATAAATATACATTCCTGTTTCCCCTCCCACCCCACCCCCATATACACCAAGAAAATAAGCACCAATAGTAACAAGAATAATAATTAAAGTTCCACCTCTCAATAGAACCAACCCTCACACATATATGTGCCATGTGGACTTTCTTCTTTGGAGTGACTATAGGATGGAAAAGTGGGGGATCAGGCCATCAAGCCATCACCCTGACAGTTACTGCTCCCCAAAGTACCATCCATGTGTGAGCTGGATCAGGGCGGGGAAGGGGAAATGGTGGTAGGGGGAGAGATTCCCCCAAAGCAGCAAGAGGGGTCAAGGAGTTCCCCAAAGTCTCCTCTGGGCAAGTGTCACAATCAACTGAGCTCCTGGAAAATCCCATGCAAGGGTTTCCTCAGGGAGATGGTTAATTCCTGATGGTTTGAGCATCATTGCCATCTTTCTCCCCCAGCTTCTTGGGGAAAGGGGGCATAGTTGAAAATCCCTGCCTCCAGACTGGGTGCAGAATGTCCTCAGAGTGCTCCTTTGGAAACTCAACATGACAAATAGCACAGCATGGGCATTCTGGTTTCAAAATGAATGCACAAAAACATAAAGAGGAAAAAAAAAAAAAAAAGAGAGAGAGACATGAGCACTTTCAGAAGGTTTACACATGGGGAATGGGGAGTCCAAAAGTAAAACATAAAATAAAGCCATAAAATGACATGCTGTCTACCAGGTTCCACACGCCTGAGCCACCTGGCATTTGTTTTTGGTACCTGGACATCTTCTGCTGTTCCTATCACAGTGGGAGGGAACAGACAGTGCGATACAGCAGGGGTAGGGCAAGGGGTAAGAGGAATGGCCCTAGGCAATTGAGATGCTAGCCCTCTGCCCAAGCAGCAGGGATTTTTTGTGTCATCTTTGTTTCGTTTAAAACTATAAACAGCACCGCTTAAAAATAAAGTATATCAGAAAAGGACAATTGATAAACATTGTTTTCCATGAATATAAAATGCAAACAATACAAAAATAGATAATTGACTTTTGATATATATATATTAAAAACAACTTAGATGCAACATACACATGGGTAAACTTGAAGTCTCCCTGCTAAACCCCCCATGCCTCCCTATAGCAACTGGGCCTGGGGGACAAGGACAGGTGGGGTGGTGGCACAAGTGGGAAAGCCACTGGCAGCAGGATAAGGGGTGTGTACCCAGCCTCCTGGGTGTGAGAAGCTACCTCCCTCCTTGGTACAGCCCTAGAAAGGGAGGGAGACTGGTGTTTATTGAAGCCTTTATCCCTAGAGGCTTGTGGCCTGGTACCCAAGCTGAGGCTAGATGGGCAGGGCATCCTTGGAAACTCTAAAGCACCAAGAAACTGGCATCCCGGCCCTGGGAGAGGCCTGCTAGATGGCCTTTTCTATCCATGTTCACTGGTCCCCCACAGACTGGTCCCATCTGGAAATTTTCAGGATCAGAGCTGTCTGGCACTACATAGGCCTTGGGTAGCAAGATAAGGGCAACTACCTCCTTTCAAGTCACATCTTCCCTTGAAGTCACATCCAAAAGTATTGTCCCAAGACCTTGCAATGGAGACATGGTGTTCACCTGGTCACAGCCTAGGAGGTGTGGACATGACATGACATCAACACCTTTAGTAGTCTGGAGCACATCTGGTACCAGCCAAGCAAGTACTGGCCCGTATTTGGGGAGAGGCCTGGACCTTGGCAGCCTCTCCCATGTCACCCTGTGCTGTCATCACCACATGTCCCCAGCCAGGTCTTCCTCTTTTTGGCTGCAGCTGGGGTTCAGCCACAAACTACTCAGGTTTACAGACCCAAAGAAGCCTGCTTGTGCAGCCATGTATCCTGACTGCCCCACTTCTGAGGTGAGGATCCTGTCTGTGGGCTGGCCGGGGCACTGAAGGAACTTGCAGGCAGCAATGTTGTCCAAACCATGAACTCCTACTCAGCCCTGGACCTTACTCTGCGGTGTGTGACCTTCCAAAGCCCAGCAGAGTGTATCAGAGCTATGTAAGATCCCCTCAGAGTCAGCACCTCTTGCTACCCTCCTAACCCTGAGGGCAGCTCTCAGCCCTTGGCCAAAGGCTGACCATCTCCTTTGCCTCTTCTCAGACAGGTTGGTGGCCCTTTTCCAGAGGGCTCAGGAGGCTGATGATGGCCCTATTGCCTGCTGTGACTGGCACAGTCCACAGGCAGACAGGAGCTCGAGCTGCCCTGAAGAGGCAAGAGGTGGGTTTCCCCTGTTGTTGTAAAGGCATTTGGTGAGTGTTTATTTCCTACCAAACAGCCAGGCCAATTTCAGCCCTACCCTCCCAGAGCAGCTTTGGTAAGAGGCCACATGGTTGTAATTTGGGCATTTCTCTCACAGAATGCTGTGGTTGGGGCAAGGAGGGCCTTCCTCACCCTCTTCCATTCTCCAGCTCCACAACAGATGCCTTTCTTCACGATGTAGCCAAAGTCAGCCAGGAGAGCTGGTCTGGGTCCCTTGAGGGAAGGTGTTGGTGCAGCTTCTACCAGCCAGGTCTGCTCTTAGTGAAGAAGGGCACTGGGCCAACCCCAATCTGAGAAATGGTAACAAAGACCAGCATGGACACATTCCCTGGCAAAGGGACAGTTTGGCAACAAAATCACCTTGACTCAGGGGACCAACAGCATCTGTTCCCAAACTAAACTGCCGTATCTCAAGAATGGAAAGAGCCCTGTTGACTTCTTAACAGGCATAGAGATGGCTGGGAGGAGGTGAGAGAAGGGGTGGGGGGTGGGGAAGAATCATAATTTGGGTCAACACATCTAGGCAAAAATATGTTCCATATGCCACCTCCAATAAAGAAATTTAAAAGGAACCCTCTCATATGGGTGATTAATGAGTGACTAAGCCTGACAAGATTAGTCTGTTGGAATGTCTTCCCAATGGCAAACTCTGCCCCACCAGTATTTCCAACCTAGTTGAACGTGAAAACTGCATGGATTCAGGGGAAGGGAGGGTGCCATTCAATCCATAAAAGGCTGCAACTTCCATGCCAATCAGAGTCCTGCAGCTTGGCAGAGTAAGGTTAGGTCAGTCTTTCCTCTCAAGAAGCCTGGTCCTTTGAGGATGCTAAGGACTTGGCTAATAGGAAGATGAAAGCTCTTTAGAGAGCCCAGAACAGCAGCTGAGATGCCTTTGGTATTCTGTCTCAGTAGTGCAAGCCTGGGGCCTCTTTACAGAGTCCAAATGAGGAGGTGAGCAAGGCTTAAGGAACTTTTTGTGTTGGGGTGGGGGAGGGTAGGGAGCAATTTTCCCTTCTAAGAAGCTGGGCTGCTTCAAGCTCCACAAAGTCTGAAATCCCCTCTCCTGATGGCTGGGACGAGGGACCTCCTTTTCCTATCTTTCCCCTGTACCCCACAAAAACCCCAACCCCTATAGCCAAGCCTAATTTAGGTTGCTTCCCTTTCCTAATCTCAGTTAAAAGACCATGTTCCTTGTGATGAGATTATGAAAACTTCCTTTAGAGGAAAAAAGAACAAAAATTAAAAAGCATCTGCAACTCAGGCAGTCACAGGCTTAAAAGAGGAAGAAGGAAAAAAAAAAAAATCCTATCATTCCAGAGCTCAAGACTTTATCGCAGTGTCCATGATAGAACCTTGTTTTGTCTTCTGTTTACAACTGGACACAATCACTCTATTAAGAGGATTAGTGTTTTTGCCTTCACCCCTAGCTATGGCAGGCTAGGTTACAAGGCCCCCTTCTGGTTATGATGTGAAAGTCCATAGCAATAGGCAGTGAGACACATGCTACTTGATCCTCTCTAAGGACAGCTAGCTGGGACAAATAGCTTATAGTCATCTGACATAATGGTGGCTATGCCAAGGCCAAGAGGAATGGCAGTGGGGAGGATCTGTACCACAATTTCACACTGCTAAAAGCAAACAAGCCCCCCCCCCCCCCCC